ACTTCATTGTCACAACCTCCTACAAACCATGTTAAGTTCTTCTACAACAATGGCAGTCAAGCATGAAACCAAACATGGAAGAAGTTACCAAGCTTTACTTGTAATTATTTTGCAGGAGAATTAAGAATTTCACCACTGAAATGTACAAACCACTTTGACTTTGCCTTTCCATAAGAATTTATATAATGCAGGAAAGGAAGAACAAATTCCAACACCTGTAGCCTCCACACTGCAGCATGGTCAACACAAGAATACTACAGCGATGGCCCTTAAAATGCTTGTTATATATAATTAAACAAGAACAGACATATTTTTTCTGCAACTATACTGCACTAATAATGCAACAACACTAATTAATCCAGCAGTTTAACTGCTATCTGGAGAGCAGGCAATTAGGTTTGCAAAAAGAATCGTGCATGAAGTGGTCTGAGTTTGTAAAGTACCAAAGAGATTATAATATATTCATATACTAATTAACAGATAAGAACCTTGAAAAAGCACCTAAATCCTTATCGTAGACAAATCATCAGTAAGAACCTGAAGCATTATTCTCAAGATAAGGTTAATGACCCTAAGAAAGTAGGGTGCTGATTCTTCTACATTGAATCAACGTAGCAGTAAAGCTTCTGAAGTGAAAAGATGATAGAGTAATGGGATTTCACAAGTGCATTAACACCAGAAATGGACTGTAGTTCAATATTAAAAGTTTGGTAGTTAAGTTGGCTAGGTAAGAAAAACAAGCAAACGTTAAAAACCGGTCAGTATACACTAATATTTTTAAGAAGTCAGGAAGAAATGTAGAAATTAATCAAGGAGATCTCTGAGCCCTAAGATCTTTCAAAAGAACAAGCCATGTAAGTTCCCCCTCCAGACTGAAGAGGAACTGAGGGTTTATGTCAAGAAGAAATGGCCGATTTCTGCATTGTCATAATGAAATCTACACATCACTCTTCTTCTGTCCCTTCACTAAAGGTGACAATTTCAGAAAGTCACGAAGTCTCAGAAGTACAAATGAGAAGAACAAAAGCTGAGATACCGCAGGAGTGATCATAATTAAAATGTGAAACAAACTTCACTTCAAACAGAAATGTATTACAAGAATTTCACAAAGGGCTAATCCAGCAGCACTGAAAAGTTCACACTGGACAGACTTCTCTTATGGAGGATGGAGAGCAGTTATGAAGAAGAAAAAAAAGAATTAATGTTGCTTTTTTTTAAACAACATGACACATGAATTTGCAAGGAAGAATTAAAATTAAAGCTATTATTAAAGAATGAGAATAAAGCTTTTGCTGAAAAACTGTAATACCAGAGATAGGACATTTCTGGCATTACACAAGAAGTCAATTTATACATTCAAATGAATGCAAGACAGCTTTAATGAGAACGTGGCTGAAGTGTCTGCCTAAACTAGCTCAACATCATGATATGAATCTGTCATCTAGTAGAAACAGATGTACTGCTGTATTTATCCCAGCATGTCAGTTATTCTCCTCAAACCTGGAGACCAGAGAAACTAGATAGAAACTAGAAAGGAAAGTATCTCTTTGGGGTCTTGCAGCATCCCATCATGGTATACAGACCGATTTTCCCCAGAACGTTAAGGGTAAAGTAAAAGCTTTCCTGTCAACAAAACTCTGAATCAAGCAAGTACTTGTGTTCAATTGGATGGGTGCACAACAGGCCACATGCCACAAGTTACACCTCTCTTTGTCCCAGGATAATAGTGTTTGAAACCTCTCTCCTAAATCAAGTCACTAAGGAAAACACAACTGTTCAAACGACAGTTGCAGAAGAATTTTTATTCACAAATAAGTGGACACAGTATTTATTCAGAATAAGTGAACTGCATGAAATCAGACATGAAATGGAAAAAATAACTTCAAATCAATATAATTAACAGCTGCTTCTGCTTATTATTTTTTGATTCAACAATGTCCTGTGTTTATAGCCGAATTTTACATTTATATATATGCTGTGATACAATATGTTAACTATGTTAATACCCAGCATTTAAAAAACAGTGTAAAAGAGCAAAACAAAACATGGCACCAAGAAGGCTTCTCCTCCATAAAGAGCTGTGGACACTTGTTTGTCACCATGATAAATAATATACCATTAACCATACATAAATTGCATAAATATGCTTTTTAGTGAAAATCCAGCAGTTATTATGGATACTTTAAAAGGTACTATCCACATTAAAAAGTCAGTTACACAGCAAACCTTTTCACTCATATGAGGACATTGTGACCACCTGCTTCCCCCTCTTCAAGGGTCCATGAATACCATAGTTAGTGGAGCAACCATTTTTATGGCTGTAGGACATACTGTGCACAGAATATGCTTCAGCTAAAATGAGAAGGTAAATACCACAAAAAAAATCAAAATATTTTCACTAGGGTACAATTATTATTTTTTAATATTATTAAAAATTTACACAGGAATAGAGACCCAAATTCTCTCTCATCAATTAGGAAAACAATGCAACAACTTCATTAAATTTAGAGACTGCAACATATTGTATTTCTCTGTAAAAACAACACACTAACAAGCCTGAAATAAAAGTAAACTACAACAATTCAAGTGAGGCAATTTTATTCAAACTGAAATTCTTACTTTTATCCTTACTGGACTATTGTCATTATTCTTTGGCTTCCAATATAACCAAAGGAGTGAATAAAGCAGTAGTCTGGTAAACACTGATATAAAAGTTTACACTAGTCCAAGTTCCTTCATTTTAACAGCAGTATGTCAATAATCAATAAAAAATACATTTTTTGCAATATTACACTACTGATTACTAGCGTTCGTGTAATAATGAAATCTTAACATCCCTGTTCTACTTTCTATAAAAAACTGGGGATGATGCAATACGTGACGTATACTATAAATATCAGGTATAAGCAGTATATTTGACTATTTGCAGTCACACAGGATATTCTCTGCATCTTCATGTAACTAGATATTGATACCATAACTGTATGAAGAAATAATAAAAAAAAGGACTAGAAAATCTAATCCCCATAAAAAGGCCATATTCACCATTAGTACAGATCAGCACTTCAGTTCTAGTTAGTGCTTAGTTCTGTATTTAACAAAATTCTTGCCTTGATCCTATATAGTCAATTATAATTTCAATTAACATATACAAATATATGGATAAAATCCCTCTCCTTTTCTTCTAATTGAAGCCATAAAATAAAGGGGTCAAAACTTTCAGAGCATCTACATTTTCAAGTTGTTACAAAAATCAGGAAATCAACATAACTATTAGAGATACAGGGCCAGTTTTCAAACCCAGCTAACCCAAAATTAATCAATATCAAAAGCATATACATGAATTTGGCCTTATTTATCATACTGAACCTGGAAACTAGATTCTATGAAAAAAAATTTCTCATCCCAATCAGTCAACAGCTAGTTCTCTCAGGTGATAGGGCCAAGTCCTGATCCTCTACATGATTAAGCACGGGTTGCTCCACCAGCCTATTGCATTTGCATCCCTGATTTTACCATTTCCTGGACACAATCTGGTATTTAATTACCTATAGAACTTGTGACATGTCTATCCTACTGAAACACAGATGGAATTCAAAGTTAGAAAACTGAGAATTCAAATTATTTCCGTTCACTAAAAGTGCTATAAACCTACGCTACTTCTGCTGCAAATAGCTTTGGTCAAAAGCAGATATCACTCTCCAAGTTTTACAGAAATATTTTGCCTATGGCTTGCAAATATGATGTTTAAAAGACAAAATTTTAATGTGGCAAGTTAAAGTTGCAGCCACATCTCCAACCTCTGTTACTCAGCTACTTGTTTGGAAAGTCCTGTGGATGTAACACATTCTCTTCTTCACATCAGTCCTAACTTACTCATTTCACATTGTTTATGCAGTTCCACAACTTCTCTTTTGATTGGACACTTAGTAAAAATCACAAGATCACATACTAATTGATGATGATAATTAAGGTTTGCTCGATTCCACAGTAAATTTAAATCCAAGTTTATCTTAAGATATCTGAAAGTGAGTGCAAAATGGGAATTTATAAATTTAAGACTGATTTCTGAACTTGTCAATGACTGAGACAGCTGCTTATAAGTTATTTCAGTGTTATTTTTCTGTGAAGCAATCTCTTCCTATAAAACAATTTATTCATTACTATTAACTTAAAAGGTACTGTATTTCCTGAATACTCTATGATACCATTGAAAAAGTTAAATTTTATGGTAGATTTATCAGGACAGCATTACAAAAACAGTAAGATGGAAACCAAAGGGTAAAACAAGAAATTAACTACATGATTCTTATTTCACTTACAACTTAAAAGTTTCATATTGCAGGTTAAAATACAGTAACTAGTTACAATTTAAGATAATAAGGCTAGTTCTAATTAAAACAAATTGCTAAAGTATTTACATTATTATAAGCCATAGAGCTTATACTCAACATTTCTAGGTGAAAACTGCATCCATTTTGTCCATGCTGTAAGTTGCAAAAGTTTGTGAGATTTTCTGAATGTTTTTGCAGTACATAAACCTTTAAAGAAAAAAGTTAACAGGGCAAATACACAATAAACTAACAAACAGTATCAAACTAACTGCAAAGAGTGTGTGAGATGCTATTTTGCACATAACATTGCTTTAGCATTGTTTTCTATATTTATTCACCAGTGCAAGGTGTAAATTTGTTGTAAAAAATAACTATACACTAGATAAAGTGTACAATGTGGGGTCATCTGACAGAAGTGTGATAAATATTTTAATATAACAGATATAAATGTAATACTAATGTAGCACACCGGTATCAAGTAAAATAAACTTTACTAGACATGCAAAACATCTTGGGCTTTGTTACAGTTGAACATGTCTAGCTGTCTTTTAATCAGGTGTCTGCTGTTTTGACTTTTCTTTTGGACATTAGTATCTATGTTTACTGGTCTAAGTTAGTTATCTAAACACACAACAATCAACAACAACAAAAAAATACCTCACTTACTCTATTTGCGCACCATGAGCCACAAGGGCACTTATGGAATCCATACTACCAGACCGTGCTGCTTTATGAATAGGAGTTTCACCAACATAATCCTGTAAAGACAAACTACATTTTGTCAAGCATAGCCTTTATAAAAATGAAAATCTTATTTTTATGTTACTCACTTTAATTAAGAAAGCAGATATATAAAAGCAGCATTTATTAGCTAGCAAATGCATCAGGTAATTTATTATTATCTTACAGTTTGCAGTAGGCTGTCATGTACATTAGATATTTAGCAAGAAATAATGTTGAGGGCATCTAACTCACAAGATACGCCTTATCCAATAACTAAGCAATCAGCAGAGTCATATTTAGCAAAACTTTTCAAAAATCCCCGCAAAATATACCATCATGACAAGTTACTCAAACACCTTTATTTACTAGCACTTGTTTCCAAATGTTGGACTGAGCAAGCCATCTTGAATTCAGAAGCAGTGTGGCCAAGTTTGTGGAACTATACTGCTTTCAGATCTTGCTGACACTTACACAATACTGTACTGCACTACAAATACTCACCAGGTAAAGACTATGTGTGCATAACTGTAACAGAAGTATTCCTGGAATTCACAGGACAATCCAGATCTCTCCCAAGACACACACACTGACTCATGGCCTATACTCTTCTATTTTCTGACTATCTTTATCCATTTATGTTCCATTATTTTTAACTAGCACATCCAATCACTTAATCTTTTTGTGTTATGTGTAAACATACTGGGAATAGCGTATTGCTTTTCAGGCAACTCCTTTCTACAAGGTATCTTCAGGTAACTGGGAAAATCTATGGCAATTTTACAAATGCAACTGGCAAGCAGCAGGTAAACTCCATGCATCATGATCTACAGACTGCAGATGAAATTCAGTACTTGCAATTAACCGTCAGTATTAAGAATCACAGAACAATCTAATGAAATAGGGTCTTGAAGTAGCAAGTAAATGTTCAGTTACTGGTCTGTTACATGATTTAATTATCAGTGTCCTGAACACTTCCAACTGATAGCAAGGTTGTTTTCTTTTTTCCCCTTTCCTCTCTACACTCTTTCCTTCTCCCTAAATTTTCAACATTTTACTCGTCTACTCTACTGATATTAAACCTGTCCTAACTGCATGTGCCTCATTTTTGCTTCCCCATTCCTTCTATTAAAACATCAATGCTAGCTGTTAAAGTAACATAGCATCTTTACTGACTCACCAGTCTTTACACATAAGTGTTCACAGCTAAATTTACAGTACCAGTTATACTTTAGCCCTATTTGAAAAGTGAATAAATTCAAAATATGATCATACTACTACCTTGATAAAAAGTGTTTTACACTGTCTGCCAAGTTTCTGAGGAATTAAATCACGTTTTAGACCATGTAAAAATAATTTGAAAATGAATTTTGAATTATGTATTATATACTCTCAGTCTTCTACTTGCCAATTTTATTTCACGGCAAAATATTTTTATAGTTAAGTTACAAATTCACTGAGTGTAAGCCAGTCCACCAGTACTTAAGACATATATTCAGCTAAACAGAGAACCGCCTAACAGCCCCAGCAGGGAACAATAACGGTACCATACAAATTTTACCTTCTTACAAACTAAGGAAAATTGCTCAGGCTGACAAAGTTTGGAGACAGAAAAGAGCAGAAAATTCCTTGGAGTTCTTAGTGATTAGAAAAGCCACACAGTCCTCCTTCCAAAATGGCTGTCCGTAGCTGATGAATAGAAGACTGCTTTCCAATGAAGTTTATATCATTTCTCCCATTTATAACATTTCTCAAAGTTACAGGAAGACACAGGTGTTTAACAGAGGACACAATTTTATTAACTATCATACATTGAAATTAATTTGGCAGTAATATATCCAGAAAGATTTTCTTTATAGTGTAATACATTTTGCCATCATGGAAGCAGTCTATGATTCATCATTTTGTTATGGTTTCCCTTCTCCCCCACCTTTTGTTAAAGAGGTAAAAGTGTAGAAAAGAAGTGATTTGCCTCTCTTGTTCAGCATTAGTATTTACAATCTCAACTCTAACTTAAAAAATAATCATTCAATATCAAGTTCAGTTTAGGGAAAGTTAGCTCAACTAGCCATGCGTATGACAAAGATGACAAAAATCTCTACTAGCCCCATAAACTTAGCTTGCCCACACTAAGATTTAGAGAACTGAATTATGAAGTATTGCTGTGAGGAAACACTAGAGGGATGAGGAAAGACCTTTGCAAAAGGACCCCTCACCACTGCATTACAAGAATAAGATAAGCTCATAGAAGCTAACAATCCTGTCACCAACAACCAGAAAAAGGTTAGCATCTCAGAAGAGAATATATGTCTTGAGAGGGGCTTCTTTCAATCACTGGCCCAGAAAGCACACCTCTTCTCTAAAGCTAAGGAATTAGGAAAATACTTAAGAACAACAGAATATGAGGATTTAGATTTTTATAGCTTTCGTTTAATTACAGCACCTAAATTTCAGTCATCACTAATGTTATCTTCTTTTGAAGTTCTCCTATGGGACCAAATCTACTTGCACTGAAATAGTTTCATAGTCTCCTGGCTCTATAAAGAAGAAATTCTCTGAGTTATGAGCTAGACTGAAAGGGAAAAACCCCCCAAGTATCTCCCACTGAAAAACAGCTTTAAAGCTTACTTATTTTTCAACACATCCAAAATTGTGCATACAGAGGAAGATAAAGTACTCTATGAGCCTCAGAAGAATTCTGTTTTGATTCACCAATTGTAATGGATGGCACCATCAGAAAAAGCAAGATAGCAAGGGTTTGTCCAAGAAGCTTCTGAAAGCAGTTCAAGGTCTAGATTACTAGCACATTTCCATGTGTAAGACACCTCTTCCCTAGTGCTTTTTTGGCTATGTGGAACAAACTAAGTTATTTTATTTTGAGGGGCCCTGCAAATTCCTAATTATACCTGATAATACCTCATAATCCTTCTACTTGTCCACAGTTCCCATATGTGCTTCAGTTTGATATAATCCCTTCTGTAATAATATTGCAGGAAGAGAAACATAAGTAATTTGTAGTGGCCTTTCATATCTAGATTAGAACTTTCCAGGGTTCCATTTACCCTTCTAATGCACCAACAGCCTAAACTGGTCTCCCAATCCAGAAGTCACATGTAAATAAATGAGCAGAGAGACCAATTCAATATTATTAATTTAGCACTCAAGATAACACGTTTATTTGCTTCTGTGGAGACTAAGTATTTTGTGTAGAGTGCTTCTGAAGAAATGATGAAAAGAGTCATGAGGCACGATAGGCACATTTATTTTTTGCAACTCACTGCCACTATCAAACACCCTTCTCCTTTTCCTTGGAGGAACATGACTATGCTTTTACAAAGACAAAAGCAGTTCTCTCTAGCTTGAGGTCACAACTAGACTACCTTTGACTTCTATTTTGTTTTGCTGAGTAAGTATCTAGCTTCCTTCCTTATTATCTTTTTATGTGGCTGAAGAGTCTTTTGCTTTTTTGGCTTAAATCGGTAAATCTATCTCAGCTTGATTAATCAGCTTGCATTTCATCACTACACTGCTTAACTTGAAAAGACTGATTAAATATTTTTTTTCCAACTCTGCTTATTTTCAGGCCTCTTCTAGATGTGATTATTATTTCAGTTCAGTCTAAAGCCATTTTTACTGTTTTCCCTCTTTCTGTCTCTTTGGGATCCAAATTTCTGTTGGCTTTAGAATCTTCTAGTTGAACTTAGAATAAATTGCCCATTTCTTTCTCCAAGTTTTAAGTCCCTGGATAGGATTCACTTAAATTTCACTCTGGTATCTTTACACCCCTCCCACCCCCCACTTTTTTTTTTTTTTTCTTTTTTTTTTTTTTTTTTCCCCAAAAAAGTTACTTACCTGTAAATATTTATTTAAAAAAACTAAAAGCCCTCATGCACTGAAAGCTTCCAGTTATGTGCACTGGTTTTGGCTGGGACAGAGTTAATTTTCTTCATAGTAGCTTTTGGATTTGGGACCAAAGTAGTGTTGATAATACACCAATGTTTTAGCTAGGCATGGGCTGGGGTGCACAAGCAGCTTAGAGGTGACACAGCAGGGACCACTGACCCAAACTGACCAGAAGAATATCCCATACCATATGACATCATGCTCAGTAAAAGCTCAGGGGCAGGGGGAATGGAGTTTGCCAGCTGTCATTGCTTGGGGACTGGCTGGGCATCAGTGAGCTAGTGGTAAGCAACTGTGTGATATTTTGGTTGTGGTTTATCATCACTTGACTGTTTTTCTTGGTTCCCTTTTTTACCTATTAAACTGTCTTTACCTCAACACATGAGTTTTCTCATGGGGGAATGAGCAAATGCCTGTGTGGTGCTTAGGTGCCTACCAAGATTAAAACACAACAGTCTGCAAGCACTTGTAAAATACTTCTAGTATAGGTATCTAAGACACAGAAGCACTATTTTACCTGACAAGTATAAACTCCTTTAACTCAACTGACTGAATTTCAAGTTCTATCAGCAAATCACATTTCCAAAAGCTGTTCAGATTTCCTATACCCAGCACCCTATCCTTTCTGAAGCCAAGAATTAGAAGCTGGAAAATACTATTTCCCTCCCCCATTCTTTGCTAAAAATGCTTGGAATTCAACATCATCATGGTTTCTCCTTCTGAATTTTGAGTACAGATGAAAACTGTTGGAATATTTTTATCTGGATTTAATCCAAATTGTTGTTTAAAATACAAAACTAACATACCAAAGAAATGAGTGTTCTCTTCCTCCCCACCAAGGATATCAATATGTTTACAGTTCTTGCTAGCATGGGTAGTCTAACCCTCCTAAATCTACCTGCCATCACTGCCACATGATGGCAACTGGCTGGATGAAAAGTTAACATCACCTGTAAGGATGCAGTATTCCTCATCCCTTCTCTTTAAGACAGGCCACACAAAACTTTTTTCTGGCCAGTCAACACAGGCAACATACAATAGAAATGTTTAATAGGCTGAGACTAGAGGGGAATTATATTTAAATGAAGTAACAGGCTTTTCAACCGAAAAGTACTCATGATGTTAATATGTACAACAGCGCAGAATCAATTTGCATTGTGACCAGGATAAAACATCAGGAAAAAAAAAAATCTCGGATAAAGGAGCAGTATAATTGCTTTGCACTGTTTCAGTGAACTAGAGCAGGCAGGTAGCCAAATGCAGTTCTTAAGACACATTATTAAGAACTATGAGCAGGCACTGCCCAGTGAAGAAAAAAAAGTAGGACTTTCTCTTGAGTTCACTGCTGTGTAGAAACACACAAATGCTTGCTTGGCATTTCAGCTTTCTCCTGTGAATTTTTATGGTGATCCTGGGGGGGAAGAACTGCTCACTGATCATAAAGATAGATAGTTCTAGCCAGCACATACAATTATATAAGAGGGCTGGGCATCACAGGATATACTCACAGAACTTATTTGGGGAGCAAGGTACAGTTGGGACAAGCAGTTTTCAGCATTTGTCCTTCACTGCTGCTGCCTGAGAAGTGTCCTGGGCAACTGTCACCAGCACTGATGGGCATTTCCTAAACTTCAGGGCAGGCAGCATGGGCTACAATACAATACCTCAGGGCAGATATGATAAAGCGTGCATGCAAATTCTACTGAGTACCGGAGGTTTACGTTAAGACTGAGAGACTTGAGTGGATTCCTTTTCAGAAGCTATCCTTTTCTTTTTCCAGAGATGATGGGTTAGTCTGTAGCCAATGACCAGGAGTCAGTTTGGAAGTAAAGTTTTACTAGTTTAAATATCAAGTATTCCCAGATCTTTCTCAGCATGTGTTTTGTATCCAGTGTCCATGGAACACTTGTCCTCACACAAGCATTAGCCAGTGACTATGTCTGTCTGAAGTACAGCATCAGTCAGCGAGCTGGAAGGAATAAACAAAATACACATCAGGAAATAGTGCTCCAAAAGCTCAAAAGTGTGGGTGGAAGCCCTAGATGATCACCTGAAACTGCTTGGAAGTTAAGAAAGGAACCAAGATCATTTATTAAGCAGTTCAAATCAAACAAGACTAGGAGAATTTGACTGCAATTCAGTAAACAGCTGGAAGGAACTGGGGAGAGCAAAGCATGCACTATGCTTTACATAGCCATGTATGAAACATTTCAAATATCTGTGGGATTAATTTGCTGCAATAGGTATCACCAAGGTGCACTGTCTAGCTTTCGGTGCTCATGCATATGAAACCAGTGTGACTGACCAGTTGCATCCTAACCAAAGAACTCAAGAGACTGTTTCTACTACCATTTTAATTGACCAGAGCTATCTTCTCATTTTATTGTTCAAGAAAATCTAAAGCACCTCTTCTTGTATGTTCAATTCAATTAATGTTTTGTGAAAGCAAAAAAAAGTAGTTTTATTCAAGTGTAAGTTCAGCCTACCATTAACAACATACAAGGCTTCCATCATGTCAGCTCTCAGTGTCATCTACATCAGCGTCCTTTGCCTGTCAATACTTAGATCTACCATTAGAAGTCTATAGGATACTATCACCACTATCTGTTTGAAAACTTGAGAAACACAGTTCTCTTCCTCCTGTGAAGGACCACAGACCTGTTACTTGGACTTCCTCTGGTGACAGATCATCAATTTATAAAGACTCCCGAGTCACTGGCTAGTCTTGGTGACTTCTTTAAGCTGGGATGAGGTTCCTGCCTACTTTTAACTGCATATTATAGCGCAATCTGCTTTCCTTTACAGTCCTGTTGCCCTCAGCCCATAGAGATATCTCTGCACTCTTCTCCTCTTCTTTTGGAGGCTAGCTGCTACTTTCTTCTTTGCTATAACCTCACTCACTAGATGTGATTTTTTTTTTTCCCCCATCACGTTCCAGGACAGCAAGCTTGTTCTTCAACTCCATTTCAACCTCACTGGTCAGTTCTTCTCTTTATCCTCATAGTTGGAAACTTTCATTCTTCTCATTCATTCATTTTCATTCATTCTTCTCTTCTTATTTAGCAGATATTTGTACATCTTTATTCTGTGCATGCCATGTTTCCTCTCTAATCACCATTTCTTTACATTCTTACCTGGTCTCCAGATGCATTTATAGTTCTTGTATTTTCTCCTCTGAAGATTCTACCACTATGCAGCAATAACTTATTGCGTAAGTTACTTTTGTCAGGTATCAAGGAGAAGATGCCATCTATAGCCTCTGCATCCAGTCACCTTCATTGTTTCTACAATTCTCCTGGTGTCTCAGCTGTTCTCAATGCACCAGCCTTCTTTTCTGAAAACTCAACACAAACTTCCCCATTTCTTATTTTTGCATAGCTTAAAAAAAAAGAACCAAACTCTAGAAATGCAAATGTTCTTCAGCAGACTTAGCTTAATTCTACTGCACATAAAACAGTCTGGCAATTAAATATTTTAAGAAAAGTATAATGAATGATTTAACAGACCAGACATTTTATGGATGCTGTGCTATACTACAGCTTTTATTAAATGCATGTGCTGTAGTATTAATTACTCTCATAGAATATTATAATAAATTTGAGCACTGTTATAAAGGCACACATTATGTATGCCCAGCATATGTAACAGATCCATTCAGTACTGCAAACATTTTCTCCAAAAGCATGATAGTTTTAAGCACTCGATTTTGTTACTGTACCAAAGCATAAGGTTTTTTTACAGGAATTTTGGTATATGAATGCACTCTCTGATGGATGATATAAGTCATCCATACTCACAGTAGAAGTAATGGAAAACTATTAAAAAAAAAATAAAATCACCCATTCATTCTTTGTTAGTAAAGTACGTGTTTCTAATCTGTCTGCAGGAAATTACTAGACAAGCTCTGGAAATAATCTAAACAGGAAAACAGCATGAAACTAGATGCACCTGAAAACAAACCATGGCCTTACTAGTCAGGTGTATGACTAAATCATAGAAGTACCACAAAGGTCTCATGGTTCTGTAGGTAATGGTGAATTTTTCAATTCTTAGCATATTTAACAAGTAAAGGGTTCCTCACTAGTCTTTTTTCTTTGCCCTAAAGAGGCATTACAGTATCAAGAGTATTTGCTAGTGCTGCTAATGCCAACACCAGAGCAACATACCATTTTGTTCAAGAAGTATTGAGACATCAATTCCTAAAACAAATGTCCCCCAAACCTTTAGTGGCTTAAAGGGCATTTATTAGTTCTATCTCTACTATAATGGGGAAGTCTATAACAGATAATTAAGTCATTTGACTTCAGCTGATGTTAAAAATAATGTATCTGTATGTCAATGTAAGGATCATACATGTAGTAAAAAGGAACCATGACACTTCTTCCAAAACTCTATGTTCGACACAAAATACACACAAATCCATACCTGTTTGTTTATGTTGGCCCCCACTTGAATCAACCAATTCAGGCACTGTGGATGTCCTCCAAAAGCAGCAATGTGGGCTGGTGTTTGAGCAAAACGTGTTGTACTGGCATTTACAGAAGCTCCAGCTCTTACTAACTGCATTAGGCACTCCAGCTTTAAAGACACGAGGGAATAAAACCAAAAATGTTACACAGATGTTCTATGACAATTATCACATACTAAACTAGTAAAAATTTCTAGAAGAGCTAAACTTACTAGTGAGACTACATGGATGCAAAACAAGAGAGAATATGAATGTTGGTATTTTTTCCCTCCCCCTTGTAATTCTCCCTCCTTTGGCAGTAGGGCATACCTGAAAAGTACTTAGTTCTCACTCCTGAAACTGAATTCCAACATTTATTTTCAGAATGAAGGAAAAGAGAGAATAAACACCTCAGATCCGACTACAAGAGCTATTTGGTTCCCTTTTGTTAAGGAGACAAAAAGTTCTGACCTAGCAAAGCTGAAAACCTGATGCTAAACAGACATTATCAGATAACATTTGCCAAAACAAGAGTGATGTTAGGAGATACACAGATACATTCTCAAGAGAGATTAGAGGAAGGTAAACCAGAAAAACAAGATAGATTTAAAATTTCTTTAATGTTTTCCTATAGCGACAGAGGCAGATCATTAATGAAAACTGTTAGTACTATGCTAGATCTATAAAAGGAATCAATTCTTTTCACCATTTTCCTTTTATTACAGCTGAAGAGCTGTTAAAAACAAAGTAGGTTGCATGCTTGTGGCAATACCAAAAAAGAAAAACTCCCTTTGTTGTAAAAAATTGAAGTATTTTGTCACACTATATTTTTTTCCCCACCATACTAACCAGAAGTGTCAGATATCCAGCTACTATTTTTAAATGTTCATAACATCACATTTGTAGAAGCCAGGCAAACCACAGCCACGATGACCTCAACTTTCAAAAATAGTCAGAAAAATGCTCCTTTCCTGTCACACAGTAACATTGTCTTTTTGTTGATAGGAAAAGGAATGCACTATGCTAAAATAAACAGTTTAGTCTAGTTTTCCATTTATTGTGGTTAGAAAGCAAACACCACTGTAAACCCATGTAACAGCAAAACAAAAAACCACCACACTGACTCAGGGCACTGGTCATATAACACAGAAAATATATGGCTTACAGTTGAAGAAAATGTTAGCCATACCACAGCCATGTAATAGTCTGTTAAAAAGCATCAGAAAGTCAGCCGGCAGCCTGATTTAGATAGAAGCACAAACAAAAAAATTTCAATGTTCTTCTCTACTGCTGCATGTCAGTTTCTACCTGTTTTTAACCTGTAAATTCCTGAACTTGGATGAATTACAATACACACAAAAAAGTACCAATCACTGTAGTGAGGTGTTTTATATTAGTTTTGCAAATATATTGCAAACTTCAACAGTTTCCTCCCCCTATACAGTTCAAACACACACCTATGAACCCTTTCCTTTAGGATATACTGTGTTTTTTTTGGACTGCAATGGACTCGACACTAGACATGGAGGTACCCATTAAGTCACTAATTACATTAAGTAAACGTGGAAGGCTAAAGGTAACTGAAATACTGCAGTATTAATGAATCTAGCTCCATAAACCTCAACAGTACCAAATATGAAGTACCTTTTCAAAAGTGAAAAAGTACTTTTACTACAAAAGAATTTACATTGAAAAATTGATGTAAGAAAACTTTATAATTCTAATGCTAGACTACCCAAATACATTTTTTATTTGCTGATCTTAAGACTTCCCTTGGTGCTCACAAGCTAGCATTCCTAATACTGCTGCTAATCCTTAATAATGGCAATACTGTAATTATTAAGTGATGTGATGGAAAAAAACTCCAGCTACACCAAGAAGTTCCTCTGCTATAACCGCAAACAGAAATAAAGTTCATCCAGTTTTAAAAACAACCAACTTAACAGAATTAATTTGAAAGTACTTTCAGACAATCATTACAATTTCAGGAAAGAATAGTATTTCCTGCACAGAAACTAGCTGAAAGAGTTCCCATAATTAGACAGGCATTATATCTCATCAACTGAAAGGGGAAACACACTGGACTGGTGCACCAGCGACATCTTGCACTGTTTAAATCCACTTTATAAGATGGCTACACGTCATGATAATCTATACATCTTCATGTATAAATGCTGCTTTTGCTTGTGTGCTCTGTCCCTCCGTCCGTCCCGTCCCCTGTCCCCCCCCCTCCTTCTCTCTTACAGGGTTTTAACAATGAAAATAACATTTCACCCTATTAAAAGCTGAAGTACAGGGCCTTCTGCAACATGGCTGTCAGAAAAATCTGCTATTTTCCAACATTATGGAAGAATGAGGTAAACTACTTCTGTAGGATCCTTTCTGATAGGAAAAGTCAACATAAAAAACAAGACCTCACTTGATTATTTATGATTGAAACAGGTCACACAGGTCTGCTTTCATTAAATAATTTTTTAGAACATATTTCCCACTCCACTGTTAAATCTAAAGCAGAGGTTAAACTGATTTAATGAAGACAGGCCTCCACACAGGCCACAACACCAGCAAAATACCAAGGAAGAGAGAGGCATTTTTTATCGGTACTACTTTTGTTCCAAAAGAAACAGAATGTACTTACTACTATTTTGCTTCCTAAAATGTAAACAGTCAAATGGCAAAACTAAAAGTAGAAGAGTACAAGCAGATAGATATGGCCAGGGAAGATAGAAATACATGTGCAAGTGGTTAAAAAGAACAATTAAGGTTAGCATAAAACAAATTGAATTAACAGTGACTTCATTTTTTACACAAGCCCTTCATTCCCTAACTCTCTGGTAGCTTTAGACTGTTAACAGTTTTACATTCTGACCCACCTTCTCAGGAATCTACAGAATGCCAGGGTAATTTAGGGCACTATATAATTAACTAATTGGAATACAGCAACTCTAATGGGAATTAATTTACATCTCCGGATACGAGCACTCCTCTGCAATCATGGAATGACCTGAAAATGTAAACTCCAACACAAATTCTCAACACAGCAAGTAAATTTTGGTTTGCTTCTATCTCTAAAAGAAGGCCTGTGATGTCATTGAAACTCCAGATACTTACAACCAGAAACACTGGTTGTAATACCTATTGCTTTCAATTGAATTTGCTGGCAGTTTATTTATTACTTGCAAGCTGTAGAAGTATGTTTCACACCAAGCTATTAAAAAATACTGTTTTCATTTTTAGCCTTAAGATACTCATACCAATAAAAATGGAGTTATTACATCAGTATTCCCAAAACAAGCTTTCCTCTTCCACATACTTATTTCTAACAGAACTTGGCTATCGCCGCTACTTCCTTACTGCAGCACACCTACAACTGCATGCAAGAATGCAGTCCTATACAGCTTTCTTCTAAAATTATTTTTATACTGTCCTTTGACACAATGAGGGCTTTCTTCTATGTTTAAATTGTGCAACAGGCAAAGGGAAAGAAACATCTCTATACTGTTAAAAGTTCACAAACCCTAGACTGATGCTGTGTGTGCATGCACACCTGTGTGCACATCTATGAATCAGTTTAGATTTCACTGCTTACAATGAGTTGTTCCACAAGAACTTCTGGAAATGTGAAGAAATGTCAACCTCATACAGAGCTGCAGCTTTAACATCATAGTCAACCAGACATTTATCAGTTCAATGGCCCTAAATCAGAAGGACAGCCATGAAGTTCTGTCACTATTTAATTTCTTTCGGGGGAAAAAAAAAAGCGCAATTGAAAAATCCAACAAATGTTAGAAAAACAAAGAAGTGAAGAGTAATTACTATCATTAGTAAGTACTAATGAACATAAATAATGTTTTATAACTCTGATACTTTGAGAAATAGAACTCTCCATCGGAGGTTTTGATGACTCTGAATTTGGAAAAAAGAAAAACAAAAACATAAGACATGCATATACTAAGAACAGCTGTTGTTTCACTGCTGGAAACATATTAACTGGTGAAAGTGTAAAAGTGTAACTATGCCACACAAACACAAAGTCAGTCAAGTTTGGGATCCACATACATTACTAACTTTTTCAAGTGTGTTGCATCGTCTCTGGCTCAGAGAAAGGAACACTACCTAACAAGACTATAAAACGTGCAGGTAACTTCCGTAAGTTGAAATTGCCTAGACCTTGTCACAAAGCTTTTAGGAAAATACAGATATGTAAAGTTGTATAAAACCCATTTGTAGCCTATGTCATCTTTGCAAGTCTCATTTCACTCGCCAGATTTTTCCCCCCTTATATGCAACAACAGCAAAAAAACATGTATCAAATTTTGCTGATACTTAAGAATGAACATGGGAAAGATAAACACAGTATCTTGCAGAATGACTTGTTCCCTTCCTTAGCTGTTTCTGCAAGAGTCTTTTCAACAAAAACTAGAACATACACAAAAAATAACATAACCTAGGTTAGTAGAAAGATAAAGATGCTTAAAGGAAAAGACAAAACACACACACTTCCAAGACAAAAGCAAAACTGCCACAAGCATGTACTGAAGAGGTATGAGACTGAAAAAGAGAAGACTATAACATCAAATTAGTTTCTTCACATTTTCTATGAGCATATTGATGATAAAATTTAAGGCACTCCATTTTTTTTTTTGAGTGTAGGAGTATAGAAGATGATTAGCTTCTTTCTGAACAGTTAAAAGGCTTCTTTAGGTTTTGTGGGTTTGGGGTTTTTTTGTTTGTTAAGACTGAAGGACTACTTCACTATGTTTCTAAAATGTCTCTCAAACAAGTACTGCAGATAAGATCACTGAACATACAGAAGACATCTCTTAAAGCACTTTTATAAGCCATGACAACTGCCTAAGTACATTCATTTTCCTTCTCCAGCACACAATCAATAACCAAATAGATATATATTGGAAATGGGAGGAGAACAAAAAAAAGCCTCTCAAAATCCAAACCCAGACAAGTCAATGAGGAAGAAAGGCAAAACCCAACCCTCTAGGGCTGGAATTCTGCACAGGCTGGAACACTCACCGCGTTAGAAACAGGAAAGGCCTACATAAAATCATTAAGATACCACTCGTCTTA